GTTTCACAATCAAGAACTTCTTTAGTTGGTGATCAGTTCCTTAATTCTCATGACCTAAATGAGTGACTCAGGGGTAATATTGTAGGGAGAAATTAGATGCTAGTCACTCTGAGAGGTAGATACCATAACTTTAAGCAAGGAAGTTGTTTCCCTTACTTGTGAACAAATTATGGGATGACTGAAAAACTTTGACAGCCCTAGTTGTAAATAAGTCTCTTCCAAAACAAAGATCAAAACTTCAAGTTTACCTGGCAAGCAATTCGGTCCAGATCCCTCTGGCCTTGACTTGTGATTGCTCGGCCTCTGAAAGAGAACAACATTTTCGATCAACAAACGATGTTCCCTTACCCTTATGAACTACTGACCATCTAAAAAGTACCGCTGAAGGAATGGAAATGATGTAATTATGTACAATGAGTGCATTCTCATGTAACAGAAGTGCAAAGTTGAAACACAAGTGCAAATTACAAATAGGACATGCACACTTTCAAAAATTTCATATGTTTATTTCATGTGAATTATTAACAGGTAATAAAAAATTCTGTAGTAATTTAGTGTAATAAGCAAAATTGTAAATTTTTCAAAGACTACAAATTGCACTTCACCTTATGGGCTTCTGCAATTTTTATGTCTGAAAAATTTGCTTGTGCTTTTTAACACCAAATCGCACTCAAAATCATGTTATTATACTATGCCTGATGACAGAAAAGTTTGTCTCACATATTTCACGTGTATATAAGAACGATTGTCAAGAAAATATGTTATTTTTCTTACCCGGTGTTGTCCTTTTCAACCATTTTAAGCTGTTCCAGGCCTTTCAAAATATTGCGAGCGATAGATGAAGAACCGCGCTCAAAATGGCTTGGCCTGACACCACGTCGCTTGCGACCTGCATAACACAAGAAATATCCTGGTTTGTCTTCCATGTTATAATTTTGTTTTAAGAGGTTACTATGAATACATGGAATGTCTTTGTCCCTCTGTAAATATCTTCCCTCAAACTAACAAATATACATAAGCAGATTAAAGTAACTGAGTGGATGAGATATGGGTGACTTTTTTAGTTTGCTCTTGCACAAAATAATTATTGTTAAGAAAACTATGTCAAGGTATTGAAGTCTGGGAAAACTGTTACAGATCTGTGTTGGCCCACATTCATTCCTGTGGTCTCAATATCATTTCTTCACACTGTCTCCTGCAACTTCCTATGAATTTCACTTTAGGGAGGGTACATTGTATGGATTTAAGTAGCTCTTGCACAAAATAATTATTGTTAACCCTTTAAGTCCCACTAGTGACTAAGACAGAATTTCTCCTTACACTGTCAGTACAATATCAAGCGGACAAGTAATGAGAATAAAGAAAAATATCAACTAGGGGATTATTAGTTGATCCAATATCAAATTATCCAAACTAATATCATATGAATTGTATGGTAGACAGTAAGGAGAATTACTAATGAGATCTTGGGAGTTAAAGGGTTAAAGAAACTATGTCAAGGTAATGTAGTCTGGGAAAACTGTTCCAGATCTGTGTTAGCCCACTTTAGTCTCTGCGCATTTATTATCATTTCTCCACAGTGTTTACTGCAACTTCATATTATTTTATCTATAGGAGAATCAGAAACTGTAGACACAACAAGCTGTGATGGTATGTTCTTGTGTTCCACAGATTAAACTAACATTGGTTTACAATTCTGAGGGGTGCTTGCAAAGTCATAAAAAGCTATACCATAAGAAAAAACAATAGTGACCAAACAGAAAGTTTGGCATGTATGGAGTCCATCTTGATATTTCAATTAGGCTTGAGATTCTTGATGAACAACAATTCAAAGACTGAACTATCAAAATTTTTTATTTTCTTGCGGTATAGCTTTTTATCGGGCAATGTTACTTTAGTATATATAGACTGCACCTTACAAATATTTTTTTGACTTGATAATGGCGTTTAGCCAACATCGAAATGTTGTTGGTTTTTAGCAATCTTCAAATGATTTAAAGAAATGTTTTATTGCAATTTTTTATAGTTAAATGTTTTTCTAAATCACCTCTTCTTCCTTTCATCCAATAATGACAATAAAACAATCAACCAATGTAAATGACACAACAACAAGCACAAAGGATAATAAAATACCTCCATAAACACGAGTGAGGTGACCAACACCAATACCACTGCGCAGGTACACATGACGGAGGATCGAAGCTGTTTAATTCAATAGCAAACAGTATGTTCATCAATAATAGCATGAAACAAATAACCAGCCCTGCCAATTCTTTACCCTTGATTCTTTAAGTGATTATGGGAATGACATCATTCATGTTAACACTTAAGTGAGACCATGACACACAATCAAATGGTTTCAACACAAACAGAGCAAGTACAGATATTGGGTTCATCTATTTTCCCCCTGTATCTCTCCAAGCTGTAGCTGTTTTGATTGCCATGGTTAGTAGAATAAAATTTTCAAAAACTAAATTTGCTATAGAAGTAACCAATTCAGTGAGCTGTATTCTGCGGTCTAGTGGCAACCAGTAATTTTTTGAAAATTCTGTTTGCTATATGGTCTTAAGTGAGTTCAAGATAAATTTTCATTCACAAAATATCAAGTACCATTGCCCAAAAATGTCCTCTATACATATTTTTTTTAAGCTTGGAGCCCTGCAAAGTTTTGGTGAACATCTTTTTAATTTACAAAAAATGTTTCTAGTTCTGAAGCTAGATTTTGTTTTTACTGATAAAGCAAGATGTTTGATGTTCTTTCACAGCAATAAAAAAGCAAACAGCTCCATTACCTGCCCTGATGTAATACCAGTCAGGATCGTACGGGGCAAGTTCTTTCCTTTTGGCTGTTTTAACCAAGTCCACCCATTCGGGAACCTTCAGCTTGCCACCCCTAGAGATTCAAATCAACAAATCATGCATAAGTAGAAGGGAAAAATACATGTAACTAATGTTGATTTCAATTGCTTTAATTTCCTTGAAACTGTCAAGATTATACACAAGTGCAGGAAGTTTTGTTTCAGAAACATAAGAGTTTGCATGGAGGAAAAGGAAAACAGAATTTGGTGTGTAACTGTGAACCACAAGATGACATCAATGCTGAAATGTTTCTCTAACTTTTAAATCATATATCTAAAAATAAAATTCACAATTACTGTTAGTTTAGTAATGAATAGAGAGACATGAACTGCAACTGATCCTTAGGTTACAAATTATTAAATGCCTGTTCATTACATGTTAAATAAAACAAGCAAGACATAGTCAACAAATCACAATTCAAGTGTGTTTAAAGTAAAATTATAGATATATAAAAAAAGTAATAATAATAACAACAACATCATGTAATCTTTAACCAAATCTTACACGAGTAGTGTATCAGCTGAGATTGATATACAGTATGCAAAGGCAAAAATATAATTCCGACAGAATGTAACCACGAGGTCTTTCGAAGTCTGAGCGATTAGCTGGATGTTTTTAAGTTTTACAACAGCTGATTGGATTTTGCCGTTAACTGAAAAGTTGCTTCTGAGTATCAATTTGGTCAACTTGACCTAAAGTCGAGCCTGCCCTTGCTGTTAACTTCGTATCACTGCAAACTTTATATCCGGGTGTTTTTGACATAAACACAATAAATTCAGAATTAATAAATTCAACTTCACCACCTTAAAAGAATTGCACTTAAAGAGAGTGACATTCAGATCGATGTGCGGCCGACAAAAAGTCACCTTCATCAAAACTCACTTCTTCAAATGGGCCGCCAAAGCCTTGATGAATTCGTGTGGACAAACGTCTTTCACTGTCACACCACCGGGCATCTGTTGGAGAGAAGACATACAACTATTGTTCAGCGCATAACTTATAAGTTAGATGGCGCTCTTACACTCCGTAATAGCCGTGAAATTTAAATACACGTGGTTGTTACAGAAATTTCGTGTCCGCCATTTTACCTTGTTCGAAGAGAAGAGGAAGAATGTGGGGCGGCCACCGCGCCATAAGGGGCGCTTGACTTTTCTCCAGTCTCTCCCGGCGTTAGGGGAGCTCATTTGGAAAATTTAACCCATTCTTAGGATTTTGAGAGCCTGGAATATGAAGGTTAATGACATCTAATCTTTCGACCTCTTTCAAAATTTTCCAATCTTAATTTTTTTTTGTCGCCTGAGAAATTTCATCGTTAAAGTGTCTCATAGTTTGTTTCCACGGTCCTCGAAAGTCAAGGGATACTTTAAGAGCTTTGAAGTTAGATTTTGCGATATGCAATTAATTTTTTGGGACTCGATAAAAGACATTACATAAACTAAAGTGCTGCTTTATTTCTTTTCGCCGTACGCTGACGCAGAATAAATAAACGAGTATTCTTAAGCTAGCAATATAAGTATTTTTAATATGAAATTTTATTTTCAGTTTAGTAGCGTAAATTCATGTATACATTAACATGCCATTTAAAATTTAGTTATCTGTAAAACAAATCATTTCTGTCCGATAAAGGTTCGTAAACGTTGACGATCAAATGTCGATGCAATTTATGTACACTGTACAGATGTCGGTTCTATCTATTCAGCCATATACATTATATTTGTCGTTCTAAATTTACCTCATACTTACTTAGGGCAGTAAAAAAAAAATAACCTTCTCGAAGACCGCTTTCGGCTATTTTCATGTTTTAGCTCAAGTGAAAACATTTGCTTTTTAAAATAATCAGAGGATTATTTACTAATTTTCTACAGTCTTGGTGCAGGGGTCATCGATAAATTAAGCAATATCATAGAAATGTTTAGAGTACATTTTGGCCTTTTGTCGTTTACTGCAAAGAATTAATCTTAAATCCGCCAATAGTCACTAACCTCAAGAAAGGCAATTGATATTGTTTTCGATCTGAAATTGAAATCACGTTTTATTCATGCGTACAAGTTTTTTTTTTTCCATCGGATCTAACATGTTCACTTCACTATTTTGTTCATTAACTACTACACATTTCGTAAGCTTCTCATTTATTGCATCTACGCTACGGTCAACCAATCAAAATTGGTTTCCTAAGTAAACTTTCGTGTTAACTGCCGATTCCAATTAACATGAATTGACCTTCACCTCGGCCTTAAAATGTCTCCGTTCAAGGTAAAGTGCGCTTAATCAAAAGATAAAAATTAAACAGAAAGTTGGTTAATTTCATCCGGATATTTGGTACTTATTCTCAATGCCCTAAAATTCAGCCTCGCAGAGGAAGCATTTAACCGACAATTTAGATTTGATCTCCAGGAGAGACGTAGTTGTGGTAATTAAGAAGGCGTGCGGTGTTTAGTAAGATTTTTCGAGAGCAGAACTTGACAACCCTTAAATATAAACATACTGTGTGTTTGCTCTCTTTTAAGTATTTTAGTCAGAGAAATCGCACGATAAAAATTTTAACAGATGAAAATCAGGTTTAGATGTTTAAAAGATGAAATTTTGATCTGCCAGATTATAATGAAAGATGAGTCAGTAGCTTGCGATGTTAGGAATAAAACTCTTCAATAAAATTGTGGTCGTATGGTTCGTGTTATTGTGTTTCAGATTCAGAAATTTAAGGAACGGCCGCATTATAGTTGGGACAGCGGAACCTTCAACCCGTATGAAAAAGTGGGCTCCGGTTCTTCGTTTAAACCATAAACAGGCACTACTAGTGAAACGTCCCAACTGAGAAAAATGATAAGGAAAGTTTTTGCGAGAATGTTTTGACACCTCAGAAATCTTGATCGCTCGTTCCCACACAACCAGCTCGGTTCTGGCACATGCCCTTTGAGTAAGGATTTGGTTAATACGCTTTAGTTCCGCAGTACTTGGTGAGTTTGCTTTTCTTTTCACTGAAGTTATGTTATACACAGTGTGCGTTTGAAGGTGGCTCTGAACTCCCTAATTCTCATTGCGTAGATCCACGGATCCATTGCCGAACTTGTAAGAGACAGCGTAGCGGCCCACATCCATGCTCGGTTGTAATGTCTGCGACGACACAAGTCGCTGGTGACAATCTGCAGAACACTGACCACACTCACTGGCATAGAGAGAGAGACAGCCACCAGAACAACTATTCCTACTGTCCAGGCGTTTTTCTTAGCTTTTTTGGGCTCAATTCGAGGGGTTATTTCTGCGCCATTCTCTGTGCTTTCAGCGTCTCGCGAAATTACGGAGACACTGTTCTCTGCAATGGCAATTCTTCGCGATTGATCGCGCGCAGCTATGAAAATTTTCCCATAGGAGTAAAAGATGATCGCCATGGGGACAAGTCCTGTTAATACTCCACAGATAATCCACAGTTTTGGCAAGTCTTGGGAATCCAGTGCAAAGGAAAAGGCATTGAGTGTGAAGCCGAAAACCCAAGTGATTATCGCAACGATTACAGTGCGCTTTACGGTTACAAAGCTGTAATAGCGCAAAGGAAAGATAACAGCAGTATAGCGCTCTAGGCTCATAGTGCACAAAGTGTGCATGATGATCATCGAACTGGACATTGCAAAAAAGCTTTCCAGCTGCAGAAGATGCTTCTCTCTGTACTGCCAAGGGACAACGTTAGTTAACAAGATGTACAACGGATTCACTGTCAAGCCCACGAACAGATCGATGGCTGATAATGAAGCAATGAGGTAATAACACGGTTGGTGAAGGGAGCGGTTCTTGAAGAAAGTTACAAGAACCATTAGATTTCCACTGATGGCCGCTAATCCGGATACTGCGTTAAAAATTCCCAGGATTATAGCTGAGGCAGTAGATATATCTCCTGAACAATGCGGTTGATCTCCCATGATGTGAGATCTTTGTATCAAACTGATCACTTCCAAAACTGACAGAGAAATGTGTTGGAAATCTTCATTTCTCAACCATAACGCGAAAACCAACACAAAACAATCACGTTGAAATGAATTGCCTTTGATTACAACGTGTGAATTAAAAGTGCACTAGATTTAAAACAAAAACTTTGTTGATTCCCAAGCTTATTTATACACTTATAAACGAGACAGCGCAGGTGTCTATAATATTTGAGCGAACCAATGTGTATTTTAATCAGCGGTGATATAGATTCGTGAAGATCGCCGGGTTGGCAAATCCATCAATAACATTACCTTTTTGTTTAACCTCCTATATGGAAACACTTAATTAACAAGCTTGAAAGCAGTCACCTTCAGTGTTTTATTACAGTTCTTCAATGACCCTTTTCTTTTTTCACAGAAAAAAAAAAATTTAAGTGAGCACGTGCAAAGCATTTTTATAGCTAGCTTGGATGTAAAAGTTTAAATTCAGTTCTCTAGTAAATTTTTGGGCTGAGAAGTATGATAATATGTTAATATCAGCGTGGGTTAAGCAACTTCAGTGAGATCTGCAAGAGAGAGTGATGTGATCCCTGCATTGACAAACTTGTCATTTCAAAAAATATGAGAAATGCAATATGGATTGACTTGACCCTATCGCCTTTCAGTGAATCATGGTGTTTGTTAAATTGGGGTTCTATCGGCGTCTTCTAACCTGATGTGATATTATAAAGCATCATTCCAGAAACAGGCAATAAATTTTGAGTAGTTTCAGATTCTGATCACTAATTTAAGGGCTCTATAATGCAATGATGCCGAATCTTGAGTAATTAAAGCTAGCTTTGTATGCAAGTTAAGTGCTAGAACAGAAAGATTATGGATTCAAGCAGAATCAACAGTAAAACTGATGTAGAAAGGATATTTTTAAATCCGCGCAATAATCCTTACGCTTTTGTGCTTATTAAAAGATATATTTTATTTCTTGATTACATGCATGTCAGTATGAAACAAATCGGACATGAGAGCTTGACCGTTTATCAAACTCCTCTTCCTCAAAGGTTCGATTTTTATGGCATCTAGGATTTTAGAAAAAAAGGAGCTATGGTGTTTTGGAAATAACCAAGCCAAAAAAAAAAGAATATCATGTTTGGAGATGAAGCTGATGGCCATTGCATGTACACTTAAGATAACTGGAAAAAATAGAAAGGAAACCGAATTCAATACATGTATTTTGCGCACCATTTGGCAAAAGCTGTGATAATAACTTAGATTGAATTTCAATCAATTTTTGCTGAAAAACAATCTAGACTTGAAAAGAGTTTATTACGGAAATAAATATGACATTTTCGGACCTTCATACTGAATAACCTTGCATCATATGTGATTTTTTCTTTTGAAAATTTATTTAAGCACTTTATTTTTTGTCAACAACTGATAGGTAACCGCCAAGGACTGATTCTGAACTACGTCACATGCTCATGTACGGCGTCACATTCATATTATTTTTTTTTCCGAGAAGAAAAAAACTTAAGGATACATATCAACAAACTTGAAATACTTTTGATTTTTATTCTTACCACAGGTCTCCATATTTACTCATTGGCGCATATGAGGAAAAAAAACCGGTGAGCGGCAGCGGTGTAGTTCAACTTTGTATGATAAAGTTGGATAAAAAGGGGCAAAAGTGGTGAGGGGGGAGGGACTATGGTTGATTATCCCCCCCCTGCTCTCCCGCTCCCCTTAAGCTGGCCAAATATCTGCTTCGCTTCATATGACAATTCACACGACACAGAAAATAAACGAGATTAGAATTGTATAACGTAGCTTTTGACAAGTTTTCCCGAGTGACATTAACAGATTCTGCACGGTAAGAGACTGGGCGACTTTGAAATACAACTTATCGAGCAAACATTTATGGAAATTTTAAACTAAATCAATTGGAGTAACAGGGTGGAAAAAAAGGTTTTCTTTTGTTTTAAGTTTGCATTCAGTAAACACATTCGAGAGCTTGAAATTTCACCATAATATTGACACAATATACTTAAGATGCTGAGATTAGTTAGCCTCGAACATACTGTTCAAGCTGTCCCATATATAAATATTGTTCTTCGTCACGTTCTGTTCCTTAAAAAAGTGTTGTTCGAAAAAGAAAATTTCCGAGGGAGTTCGAATTCAGGAAAAGTCTGGCTGCAAGCGGTTGTTTCCTGATTGTTTACCGAACCCTGACGTTTTTCCCCGTAGATTTTACAAACGTGTAATATCGTTCCAAATTAATGACAGTCCTTCAAAACAATTCCACAAGGAACAGACATAAAACGAAAAACAATTACAATGAGGTTTTGCACAATCATTTACTTCCGAGCGCAAGCAGTTTCCAACAAAGGCCACTTCACCTACTTGCCGGGTGATTCATTGTATCAAACTTTGCTGGCGAGTAACTGTAAAAAAACGTTTTAAATTGATCTTCGTTGCTTGGTTGCAAGCTGCATAAAGTTACCCTGCTTTCTTTTTTATGCAACGTCCAAGTCTTAACGTTTTTGAAGAATACGCTTTTGATGATAGAAAACTTACAGAAACTAAATTAAAAGCAACGCCTGCGGAAGAAAAGTTCGTTTAGAGTACCAATTATTTTTACTTGTTTAATTGCTTGAGTAGTAAACAATTTTTCCATAAAAGAAAAGCTGTCACCGTTAGCTGATCGAAATCGAGATTTCTAGGTATTTTTTATATTAAGTTTGTTCAAGCTCAAAAAAAAAAATTATTAACTACATTAAGAAATATGATTTTAGCTTGAATCGCTTCCTTGTGTAGCTAGGAGGTAAATTAAAAACAGGACAGTTCACTAGATTAAAGAAGGAATATTAACCTTAAGGTTTTATCTGCTGCACGTAGTTGTGTTGCGTAAAAGCTCCATAAGGTTAGATCCCCTGTCACTGTCGACAGATGATCAAATACGTTTTTACTTGGCTGGTGAAATTAAATAAAACCTTAAACAAATTTTTGGGCAATCTTTATTAAAATTGCATGTTGTGCTGATGTTGAGGCGAACTTCACCAGGAATCAGTTCATTGTCACGAAGAACAGCAATAAGTTTCTGAGAATGACAATCATCTTGATTGGCATGAAGAGAACAAAACTTCCCCTCGGGTAACCTTTTGGAACCTTTTGGAACCTTTTGAAACCTTTTGGAGCGTTATTCTAGTCCAACGATATTGAACTTATGAACTGCTAAAGTTGCATCGTAACGTGTCGCAGTTCACTATTTCAGTAATGGCTTGGCACCGTGTTCAGTGATAGCGTGCTGGCAAATTGATCATTGAAGCGTCTATGTTGAGGTTTTCAATTAATGCTAATCGTTAAGACAAGTTGCTTGTGGCAACCAATGAAAACGCTTTTTCGAGCCATATGCGCGTGAAGTGAATGACAAATTGCATAAAAAGTAATGAATACCATTTTAGCTGGATTTAACTAAGAAGTCAGCTAGTGTATACCTCTTAACAAGAGGATCACCTGCACTGAATTTTCTAAAGAAACCACACTCAGCCAGATTAAAGGAACTTAACGAAATTTTTCAACTATATTTGCGCATCGAAAACCTATAGCATCATGTCCGAAGAATGCCTAGGGGAGCTACATCACATTTCCTCAATATTTCTTGCTGTTCTTCACGCCATATCTGGTTTCCTCTCCACTGCTGGAAATTTTGTAGTTCTTCTTGCAATCTACCAAACGCCTTCATTGCACTCAGTGTCAAATTATTACATCGCATCTTTGGCTGTTGGAGATTTTCTGGTTGGCGCGTTGTTAAGTCCTCTTTGGGTGACTAAAAGCGTCCTTAACGTTTGGCAAAACGAGCATCCTCTCACAGTAGCAGCAGAGCTGATGTCAGTACAAACATTAATAACTACAACTTTTAACCTTGCTGCCGTGAGTTTAGATCGGTACTTGGCCATAATAAATCCAATGTATTATGTTCGTGTGGTGACAATGTTTCGCTGCGTGTTTTCAATCGCTGTGATATGGTTGTTTTCCATAGCGTTTTCGTGTCTTCGTTTAGTGATCACAGACCCATTGGACCTGCCAAAATTGTGGATAGCTGTGGCTGTCATTGGATACACTCTACCATTTGTGGTCATCAGTTACAGTTACTATCACATCTACAAAACAGCGCGGCGTCAGTCAAGGAGAATAGAGGCTGAAGCCAGGGCCGTATCTACTGTAGCCGCTGAAGCAGGTTCGTCTGATTCGGTCGCCTCCGAGACGAAACGCAACCGAAAAGCGGCGAACACAATCGGTGTAATAATCGGGATTTACCTACTTTTGGCTTTTCCAAGCATGATTGTAAGCGGTATTCAACTCGTAACAACAAATGGCTGCCTTAAGATTCGAATTATTCGGGTTTGGTTCTGGGGAGCGCTATGCTCTTTCAGCAGCTCTGCGGTAAACCCGTGGATATATGCGGCACGAAATCGCGATTACAGACGAGCATTCAAACGCATTTTCAAATGTTGGTTTGCCAAAAAAACACGCGAAAGAACTATTGCTTCCACCCGTGCTAAAGTCGTAGACTCAATAAGAGAGCAAAGTTCGATGTGAAACTAAACTTAATAGATTATATTGTAATCTTATCAGTAAATATCAGACCTATCGAGTCAGGCAGTTGAAAAAATGTGAAGTCGAAAAAATCATACTAGTTTTGTCGCAATTTTCAGAATAACTTTTAACGAAAATAGTTAATGAAATATTTATAATTCAATTCTATGTTCCTACTTTATTTCGGACCTTTTTGCAACATTTTTGTTACCCGATGAAAATGAAATTTTGAATAAAGTTTCTGCGCTACTCGCATAATTAAAAGGTGTCATAAGAGCGTTTTAAGCGTTTCGTGCAGTTTTGCTTACTTTGTTAGAGTTAAACTTATAAACGTGATCCAGCTTTTTACGTTCTCATCAGAAGACACTTTGGAATATTTTAATCGCGGCACCGAGAAATTTGCTTTTATCACTAAATTATTTTTCCGGATGTGGCATTCATCACTTCAACATATTTTTGTGCATTACCTTCAGTTTCGTGATCATTTATAACTTTTCCGAGACAAGGTAGCTCACACAAGCGAGTAAATTAGACACGTTCTTAAAAACACGAAATGGGCTCGTAAAAATTAGACGCGAACTTTTGACAAAAATATTGCTAACTCCATTTCTGTGCAGATTTAAATGTAAGCAAAGCATATCAGCTTCGGTAGGTGGCAATTTTCATTTTATCAACAAAGTACTGACAACTCCTCGATTGCGAAGACTTCCACTCGAGTCATTAGTCACAACGCTGTTTATCTTAAAGATCTCTGCCTCTTGTAATGTATTCTTTCACATCTTTGACCAGGCAGCTTTTTTTAATGAGCGACAAAATGTGGAGGAAAAAAATAAACAATGTATATTGACAGATGTCTTCAAAATTTATACGAAACTGTGTTTATGCCAGGAGCTCACTAGGTTGCGCTGAAACCGTGAAATAGCAATTAAGGATTGTTGAGTCCTATTCCTAACCCAGGATGTGTTTAAAGAAGTTCCTGTTTCTCACAGTCACTTTTCTATGTAACAGTTCCTCTCACAAACGTGTCCAGATCCTTTTAACTTTTCAGCATATTAACAAAGAGAAAAAAAATTCAATCAATGCCAGACTTGGACTGCTAAGATTAAGTTTCCCACTTCCAAGGGCGAAAGGATATAGATAAAACATGATTGAATCATGTAAAGAGTTTTCTACGTTCAATTTCGCACAAATCGTGGAAATAATTTCGTCAGCGCACTGCTGTTCGATACCACCCTCGAGCTGAAATAATTAACTTGAGAAAACTAGAAATGTAATATTAGGAATGAATTTCAATAGAGTTCCAATATCCTATTTTCGTTTTTAATTTTAACGAAAAAAAGAGTCTTTTCGTTCATTTTATTGATGTCTTTTTAATATAGTATGAGCTGATCTTCACAAATATCTCGTAATAATTGTTAAAAAACCAATGATTTTCTTGTTGGCTTCTTTTCTTTCAGTTTTCCGTAGAAACCCTGTAATAAGAAACTGTTATTTGTTTTAATTAAAATGGAAAAAAAAATTAAAAGGACTGAAACTGTTTGGATAATAAACGGATTTTTTGTTCAACCAAAGGAAAAAAAAATGTTTTCATGGCAAACCGGTCGAACGAACCGCGCGATTTGGAAATATTTATTGAAAAAAAAATTATTTTGTACAATCATTACCATTCTCTTTGTTTTTTAAAGGCGTGTTTTTAAACTCTTCCAGTAATGACGCTGCAAAAACGGATAACTTCAAAAACAAGTGAGGAGAAAGTCGTATTCCTCGTTTGAAGAAGAGTGGGTTTATAATAATTTGTTTTAACACTCACAAACGTGGATTTGTGTTGCATAATTTAAAAACCCGTCAAACTGGTTCTATCACTGGGCTGTTTAAACAGATTTCATTACTGACTCATTAAACACTGTCTCCTTTTTTTTTCCCTTTTTTTCCCATCGGTGGAGTAACTTGAAATCTAACAGAATAGTAATGACAGAGTTAATACTGGTAATAGGACCGAGTGGAGTCCAATTCGGTCTGTTATCATACGAGTGATAAACAAAATCGGACGACCGCGAAGCGGGAGTCCCATTTGTCAAACATGAGTCTCATAACAGACAGAATTGAATGACATGAAGTCCTGTTACCAATTAATCATAACCGTTTCAATTTCCGTAAAGAAAAACAAAAACATTTAGGTCAAACATCTCTGGTAGAGAAGATGTCTAAAATACAAAATTCCTCCATTTTGGAAATTCCCCAAGTGGTTGTTGCTATGGTTTTTGCGATCAATTCTGTGATTAGGTTTTACTGAGTGGACTTAGTATGATTGGCTGCTTCAACTGTCCGATTACAGGTGTCTGATTACAGCCAACCGTCCGAATACACTGTCCGATTACAACTGTATATAATGAGTAGTGAAAAATAATGCAGCTAATGCACCAATTTCATTTGAGGAAATTGTAATAGTTGTGATTAAAGAGGTCAGCATTAAGCCTATCCTTATATAATGAAAAAACCAGCTGACCGTTGTTTGTGTAATCATTTGAGGAAAAATTGGTTTGAAATCGGCTCACATCAAGAAAATAGAATGTTCACTTTGATTGCCTCAGAAACTTCATGAATATTGTTAATTTGTATTGTTATCTAACTTCATCCGTATGGGCCGCAGTTACTGAGTTTTCCGATACTTATTCAATTTTTGACTAGTTCTGAAATTAAGCTTTCACTTATTGGGAAACTTGCGTGTAAAATTTACAAACAAAGATTGACAAGTTCGAGGTTTCCCAGCTCAGGGTCACGTAAGTTACCGATTGGAAATTTATTTGTATCATGGTAGAGAGAATCACGGATCTGTGCAGCACAATATCTCATTAATTAAACTTTATTAAACAACAACTGTTCATCAGCGTTTACGTCAGAAATGGTGTAAATGTCTTAACACACGAAATTAAACGCAGCACGAATCAAATAAAGTTTATGCATTTCTCCTAAAATCACGACGACCGCGGTTATAGCTGCATTACCTTTTCGCGCTAAATTTTGAAGAAAAAAACCTTCAATTATAGTGCTTTGCTTTTAATAAAGTGCATTCAAAGTTCAAATTCAGCTTTTCATATACTTACACCTTTAGAGTACATTACAATATCAAAAGAAATGTTTGAAATTACGTGTATAATTGGTCTCTTGCTGTACCACAATCAACATGGTGTAATCACTCGCTGCTTGCACAAAACGCAGTCAAAATGAAACGCAAATAATCATTATCTTTGTTACGCGTCCAAAATTCTGCCTGCTCTTCTAAGTCCTGATTATTTCAGCTAAAAAACTGGAGTAAAAACAAGATCATTTAAATTCCCAGGTCAAAATCACAATCATTCTTTCTTTTGTATTCTTCACAATAGACTGTACTTTAGCCAGAAAACCGCATTTTTATGGAAAAAATGCTCATTGTGCTTTGTAAGCGCCCGCGTGACAAAGGACGCGAAACCTCAACCGCAAAACAAGGGCGTACGTTACTGCAGTAAACATTGCAGGCTGCTCAAAGAGATCACCCTTTATTTCGTTTGACCGTTTTCTGGGCAACTTCACTTTTGTGCTGCGCCACCGTGGGAAGAGACTTGCTCAAGCAGTCTTTCCTAGTATATAATAAGACTCTAGGGAACATACCAGTGGGAATAAACTTTGTTATTCCACGGATTAGTCAGCCAATAGTGCTAGAGAGTGATTGTTCCAAATAGAACTCAGTGATCTTTTAAAGTTCGCGTCCCTTTAATACTATTTTAGTCCTGCTACCTTCACGGTTAGGGGACTATTTTCTCTGTCTGAACGCTTTGCCCAGTCTTTGCTTCTTGCTGCTCTTATCTGCTTTGAGCTGATCGCGTCGCTAAAATGACCAGTCTTCAAGAAGTTACAGGAATCAATTTTGAGATCGTCCTCGAGAAGTTTCAACAGGACTTCAAGGGGATTGTGATAAATCAGAAAAATGAGGTTAGAAATGTTCCACGTCCGATTTCAAAATATTTCCGTAGATTTAATCTCTTGCTGCGGCATAAGAGCTTAGATTACCCAAAATCTTGATTTTCTGTCATGTGTAAAGAAGTACGGCATTATCTTTTGCACAGAAATCGGGGTCAAATGCTGCACGGGTGGCGAAGGGCAAATAATGTTAGGGAATGTTGACTCTCAGGATAAGAATTGCTTATTAAATGTCCATTTTGTTTCGAAACTCAGCAGCTCAGATATGGAGCAATTTTTAATTGTCTCTCAAGACAGAATGATCGTCTTTTGGCGTGGAAATTAGACTTATTAATCTTGTTCTCAAAATGCCAAGAACCAAGTTTCTTCAGTGGGTGTGGTTGAGTTTGCTTACTACGAACAATTTCATCTGCCATTTTTACGCAATAGTATTCCGCTCTATTTGAGGAATAGTTTCTCGTTGCTGATTCTTCCGATAATGGAAAAAACTTTGCTGATATTTAAACAGTGTACCTTTGTTAAAGAACCATGATTTTTGTACAAATTAGCAATCTTTGATATGTTGCTCGGATTTGTTCAGCCTTTCTTGTGCAATATTCAAAAGTTTCAGAAACTTAAGTTTGTCCGGCCAGAGCGTTGCTTGTGAATTCAAAGATGAGTGCGTTTGAAATATCGGGAAACAAGACTGTCAATGCTTATCGTTTCTTTAAAACAATTATCAAGAGTTCGTTACTTAATTTTTTGTTTTTAAATGTAAATTATTAGGTTCGTGTGTTTGTTTGGAAGTTGCTCTCTCAGAGTCCTGATAAGGGGACAAAGTTCTAGCTTTTGCAACGTTGCTTGAACGAACTTTGAATAACATTGTTTTTAGTCTAAGAAGTCTACGTGTTTCAATAACCGATGCATATTTACGGGGGCACCAAAATTACATCCTAAATGTAGGTTGAGTTTGATGCAAAATATGCGAAATCTAGCTTAAAAGTGTTAAAATAAATCGAATACGCTAGCGCTGTCGTGGATGTTTGAAAAATAAGTTAAAAGAGGTCCCCAGTAAACATCCTTCAAATTGACTTTCAATTTGTCGGTTAGTCTCTCACAAATCACTCATTGATGAATTGTTTCATCCAAAGGAATGAGCGATATGAGCCTCTACCTCCAAACAAACTCATTTCGATTTTTTGTGGCAATGGAGAGGCAGAACTTGCCTTACCGCAACCAAGTTACACCATTCGCATACGGATATTTGAATCATGTTAAACCTAGGCAAGATTGACTCTCTTATTTAACTCTTGTACAAAACCATCGAAGAATGAAACAAAAAAGGTATAATTATGTACTCCAGGAAGATTTGCATACCAATTCCTATCGAGTGAATTGACTGAGTCATTACAGTTCTTTCTGTGATCACCTCGTATTTGAGAAATTTACTATGGAAGCGTCATCCTGGAAATCTAAAATTACCCAATTTCAGTTTTTTTTCCCGATGAAATCTTTCAAAACTTTAAAAACGTTTTCCAAAAGGGGTTGTTGGCGTCTTTTGTTGTTGCTACTGAATTGAATTGCGCGCATATAATTACACCAATCACACCACTATCGAACAGCAAATTAGAAGCGGGAGAGAGAAACGTGCTGCAAAAACGGATGACATGTAGAAATTTAGATAATGTGAGTAACGAATTTTTCGGGAGAGAAAGCAGAAGCTAAGGAAAAGGATAATTTGGTGGAATAGTTTGGTATAAATTTAGTTTTAATTTTTTCTGAACGTCTCTTTTGTGTTGGGTAACAAAGGCTTTAAATTTGATATTGGATGTTAAATTTGATATTGGATGCAAATAAATTTATCCAACCACAGAGCAAAAGCTAAGATTTTATATAACCATGCCGCCATATTAAATACAAGGAATGTATAATTATTAGCTTAATCATTACTGAATTTAAATAAAGAATTCCTCTTTATCATTATGCTTGCAGAACAACATCTTTCGGAAATATCTATCTGCCTTTTCGGTTTTTAGGCTCAAATAAAGCACAGAATGGTTAGAATAGCAAAAAATTTTCACAAGAGGCAAAGAGATGGACAGTTTGGTACACCTCTCGTTCAAACAAACAATTGTTTTAAAATCCATCAGAAAGAAAATCGATGAACATAGACTTTTATGTCGGAGTTAATTTCCGAGGCAACGATATATGATAACAAATTCTGTTACATTTTTGGGATTTATATCTGTTTTGGAAAATCTTCCATAATTTTGTGTTCATACAAGCATCCAAAACCGGTCTATTCTGTCACTATGTAGCTTTTCAGCTCAGGTCACCTGATTAGAACTGTTGAAGTGAAAAAGCTTCAATCTGTCTTCGATAGTTTCTCAGAGCGTAGTGAGTTTAAATTCATATTTAATTACGGTTTAACTTTATTTTAGGAATTGGAAACTGACACATTTCATTTGTTTTATTTCCAAGGAATATTTGTCTACGTTGGAGAAAAATGACATCATTCAGGAATTCGTTTCTCTTAATGAAAAAATCAACCAATTGAACGAAAGCTTCAACTGTGTTCATCTGGAAAAAGGTAAAATAGATGAAGCTTTTGCAAGTTTAAGACACAACCACGAAAGCCCAGGATTTAATGGCGATAGATTCGACAACCTTGATTTGGCCACCCAGAGGATCTCAGAACTTCAAGAGGAGGTTAAACGATTGAAAGCCGAAGATAAAGGAACATCTCTTAGTCAGTTTTCCTCAATGGAGACTGCTCTCAAGCGAAGCCAAGAAAGAGAAAACGAGTTGCAACACGAAGTGGTGAATGCCGAGAAGAAGATCTCCAGCTTGGAATACCAATTGAAGACAACAAAAGAAAAGTTGGATACCGCTGAACTGTCCATCAGGGATACTGAGAAACAGGTTCTTACCCTGAAGGAGGAGCTCTTGTTGTTCACGAAGAAAGAAGCAGAGATGGCGGGAAACAACAAGCAAAGTGAACTCCTGCAAAAAGAAGTCAGAGATCTCAAGGCTAGTATCAGCGTATATCGTCAAGAGATTTCAGAGAAGGATGCTGATATCAAGAGACTTCAGGCAACCACAGCAGACAAGCAAGCCATCATGGAGGGGTACGTTGCCGAGATTACCAGGATGAAAGATGGAGCAAAAACTGCTTCCTCACCAAGCCGAGAGTACGAGTCCTTTAAGCTTAAATTTGATGACGTTTGCAAAGAAAGGGATTCCTTGCAGCGTGAAGTTGCCCGGTTGGTTGCGAAAAAACAGAATGAAGTCTCCATTCAGCTGGAAAGTCAGACTGTGGGCTACCGCAAGCAACTCCGTGACAACGAACTAACAATTGAACGCCTGCGCAGTGAGAGCCTAAACTTAAAGTCTGAGAACGAGGCGCTGAGGGAAAGGGCTGTATCATCAGTTTCTCAGGTTGCAGGGAGGGAATATGACTCACTTCAACGACGTTACGACAGCCTTTGGTCAGAGAAAGAGGTCCTACGAAAGGAATTGGACGAGATTAAGACCAGGGATCGCAGTTCTTTCGTCGGCATGGAAAACTACCGACAAGAAATCAGGGAGAAAGAGATCGCCGTAGACAGGCTCCGTTCCGAGAACATCACTTTACAGGCCCAAATCGAGGCTCTGAAGAGGGAGGCAGCTGACATCAGCAGCAGCTCTTCATACACCATGAGGGTGCAGTCTAGTTCGGTTCAGCTGGATAGCAATGAAGAATTCTACCGACAGGAGATCAGAGATAGAGATTCTGTGATTGATCGTCTGAAGTCCGACACAATGACCCTCCAAACTGAAATTGATGGGCTCAAGCGGGACATGAGCGCTTGTTTCAGTAGGACCGAGTTCGAAGCTTTGAAAATGAAGCATGATGAGATAGTGAGAGAAAGAGATAGTCTCCGTGAGCAGCTGATGGAGGCCAGATCAACCAGCGAAAGGGACGTGTCCATTCACTTTGAAAGCCGGCTGGAAGGCTACCAGCAGGATGTGAGAGAGAGGGAGGCCTTGATTGACAGGCTACGCTCAGAGGATCTAGTGACCAAGAGCGAGTTAGAAATGCTCAAGAGAGAGGTTAGTGGAAAGTCCTCTGTATCTGATGGATACCTGGGTGAAATTGAACGCCTCCGCCAAGATATCGTGACCCTGAAGACCAGCAGTAGCGACTACGAGGCTCTAAAGAGAACCTATGACGAGGTTTGTAAGGAGAGGGACTTTGTTCGAAATCAGCTGATGGAGTATAAATCTCAAAGTGAAAACGAGATCACTACTCATCTGGAAAGCTATATGGAAGCTTACAGACAGGATGTCAGAGAGAAAGAGGTTGCCATCGACAGGATGCGTTCTGAGAATACAACCCTAAGGGCCGAGTTGGAAGGACTGAAGAGAGAAATGTCAACCTTTTACAAGAGGAGTGAATACGAGTCGTTAAAGTTGCAATTCGATGAGATGTGGAAAGAAAGGGATGCCCTACGCGAAGAGCTGATAGTTTTCAAGTCCAAGGCTGAGCGCGATGTCTTGATCCAGGTGGAAAACAAGACTGTCATATTCCAGAGAGAGATCAGAGAGAAGGAGATGGAATGTGCTAAGCTTCGATCTGAAATGATGTCAATCCAGATGAATTTGGATGTGTTTAAGCGAGAAGTGGAGAGCAAACAGCACTTGATCGATGGTTACCTGGCAGAAATTGAACGATATAAAGGCGACATTATAACAATCAAGTCCACCACAGTCTCGAGCTCGGAATACGATTCGTTGAGGAGGATGTACGATGACATACTGAAAGAAAGAGATGCCCTGCGACTGGAGTTCATTGAATTCAAATCAAACAGCGAGCGAGAAATGTCTCTAAAGGTGGATAATCAGATTAAGATATACCGAGATGAGATCAGAGAGAAAGAAATCATGATCGGTAGCTTCCGTTCTGAAAGTATGAAGTTCCAATCAGAGCTTGAGACGTACAAGAGGGAGGCAGACAGTAAACAGTTCATGATAGAAGGATACTTGACAGAGATTGATCGTCTGAAGACCGAGATCAGTGCGATGAACAAGCGAATTATAGAATTCGAGTCCATAAAGCGATCTTACGAAGATGTCTGCAGAGAGCGAGATTACATCCAGAGGCAGTTCGAAGATTTCAAGTCTAGGAACGAGCAAGATAAGGCCCTTCAAATTCAGATCCAAACTGATGGTTTTCGGCAAGAAATTAAAGAGAAGGCGATGGCCATAGAGAGATTCTCGGCGCAGAACAAACTTCTCATAGAGGAAGTCGACGGATTGAAGAGGGAACGCACTACTCTGTTTAGCAAGACAGAGTATGATTCTTTAAGGCAACAATATGAAGAAATGTGGAAGGAAAGAGATATTCTGCGTGGACAGATTTCTGAGATAAAGTCTAAGTGCGAAAGAGATCTTATCGTCCAAGTAGAAAGCCGCACCGAAACTTACCGAACTGAAATACGTGAGAAAGAAACAATTGTCAGTCGCCTGCAGTCTGAAAGCCTCAAGTACCAAACCGAAATTGATGGCTTGAAGAGGCAGCTGGGCAATCAAGAGGCTTATTTGGTGGAAATTGATCGCTTAAAGATGGAAGTGAATACGTTGAGGTTTCCAGACATTCGTGGCAGCGCAGAGTACATCTCCCTACAGCGATCATACGAAGAGATCTGTAAGGAAAGAGATGGACTTCGGGGCCAAGTGGTGGACATCAGAATAAAGGGAGAACAAGAACTTGAAGGCCAAGTAAAAATCTATCGTGAAGAAATCAGAGAGAAAGAGATTGCAATTGACAGACTTCGATCCGAGTGCATGGCATTCAAGGCGGAGATTGAGGGTTTGAAGAGAAGCCTTGGCAATCAAGAGGCCTATCTAGTAGAAATTGAAAGCTTGAAGAAAGAAGTGAACACTTTGAGGTTTCCAGACATTCGTGGCAGCGCAGAGTACATCTCCCTACAGCGATCATACGAAGAGATCTGTAAGGAAAGAGATGGGCTTCGAGGCCAAGTAGTGGACATCAGAGTAAAGGGAGAACAAGAGCTTGAAGGCCAGGTTAAAATCTATCGCGAAGAAATCAGAGAGAAAGAAATTGTAATAGACAGACTTCGATCTGAGTGTATGGCATTCAAAGCGGACATTGAGGGTTTGAAGAGAAGCCTTGGCAATCAAGAGGCTTATTTGGTTGAAATTGAAAGCTTGAAGAAAGAATTGAACACATTGCGATTCCCAGACATCCGTGGTAGTGCAGAGTACATCTCGTTACAGAGATCATATGAAGAGGTGTGCAAAGAGAGAGATGGAATACGAGGCCAAGTGATAGACATCAGGATGAAAGGAGAACAGGAACTTGAAAGCCAAATGAAGATCTACCGCGAAGAAATAAGAGAGAAAGAGGTGATGATTGAAAAATTACGTGTAGAGAACATGTCATTCAGAGCCGAAGTCGAAGGATTGAAGAGAGACCTCGGCAGCCAAGAGGCTTACCTAGTGGAAATTGATCGCCTGAAGAAAGAGGTGAACACACTACGTTTTCCTGACATTCGTGGTAGTGCAGAGTACATTTCGTTGCAGAAAACATACGAGGAAGTCTGCAAAGAGCGTGATGGACTAAGAAGTCAGGTTATCGACATAAGGTTGAAAGGAGAGCAAGACCTCGACAACCAAGTGAAGATATATCGTGAGGAGATCAGGGAGAAAGAAATCGCGATGGAAAAAATACGCGTTGAAAGCTATTCATTCAAGGCCGAAATTGATGGACTAAAGAGAGATCTCGGTAACCAAGAAGCGTACTTGGCTGAGATCGAGCGCCTGAAGAAGGAGGTCAATATCTTGCGATTCCCAGATATCCGTGGCAGTGCAGAGTATATATCCCTGCAGAAGACGTACGAGGAAGTTTGCAGAGAGCGTGATGCACTTAGAGGACAAGTGATTGATATTAAGATGAAGGGAGAACAGGAAATTGACAACCAAGTAAAGATCTACCGAGAAGAGATAAGAGAGAAAGAAGTAGCAATGGAGAAAATACGTGTAGAGAGCTACTCATTCAAGAGCGAAATTGAAAGTTTGAAGAGAGATCTTGGAAATCAAGAAGCCTATCTGATTGAAATAGATCGTTTGAAGAAAGAAGTAAACACACTGAGGTTTCCCGACATCCGCGGTAGCGCAGAGTACATCTCTTTGCAACGAACATACGAAGAAGTTTGTAAAGAGCGTGATGGCCTTAGAGGACAAGTAATTGATATAAAGATAAAGGGAGAACAAAACATTGAAAGTCAAGTGAAGATCTACCGTGAGGAAATTAAAGAGAAGGAGGTAGCCATGAACAACTTCCGTTCAGAGACTATGACACTGAGAGCAGAAATTGAAGGATTAAAGAGGGAGCTAGCCACCACGAAGCAGCGAAGCGAGATGGAAGTGGAACGTGTGAGGAAGGAATCGATGGTAATTAGCCCCTCCGTCCTTCGTAGTAGCGCCGAGTTTGTGTCTCTGCAACATTCATTCGACGCTGCTTGCCAAGAGAGAGACAGTCTTCGCCAGCAGATTATTGAGCTCAGGTCAAAGAACGAGCGAGAAGTGGCAATCCATATCGACAATCAAGTACGAGTGTACCGAGACGAGATTAAGGAGAAAGAGGCTGCATTGGGGCTATTGCGTTCTGAGGCAATCTCCATGCGCTCTGAAATTGAGTCGCTCAAACGTGAGCTGCGCATCGCAAAGGATACCCCAGCTCAAAATCCGAAGGTTGAACAAGAGCTGTTTAACTTGAAAGCAAAATATTCAAAGCTTCAAGAAGAGTATGACATATTGGTGCTTGCAAAGAGCAAACTGGAAGAGGAGATGGTGATCAAGATCAACAGTGGAATGGCCGACAAGCAAGAATACATCTACAAGCTTGAGAAGGACAACAGGGAGTTGAAGTCTTCCAATGAGTATTACGAGAAGACCGTGGAAGAGAAGAATGCTGCTATCAGTGATATGCGCCTGAAGATTGCAAGCTTGCAGAAGAAGATCGAAAACTTAAAAAAAGACGTATTTGTCGCCGATGAAGCCTATGAAAAAGCAGAGCTCCGACTGAAGGAAGTTTTGAAGTCAGAGTACAAGCCAGTGACGACCTACGAGGTGCGTCGCTACAGAACTACTTCAACAGCCGACTCCCCGACTTTCAGCAGTTCAACGTCAACTTACACGGTAAAGAAGACGTCCACAGATACTAATGGTCTAGAATTCAGTGCCACCTCTACGCCAATGAAATCCGCCGTAGAGGGAGAACGCAGCGAAGTTATTCGCAAGAGTGCTGTCGTCTCATCAGCTCCGCTTGACAGTGACCTGGCAAGGGCTGAAGGAAACTTTAACAACAGTGAGGATGTCGCCGCAACCTCAAAGACGATTCTGATCACAAATGTCGCCGACGGAGATTCTGCTGAGGTTGGAAGTGCCGGGTCTGCCAAATCGACCGTATACCGTTCTTCGTACTCCAGTCAACCATCCGTGTACAGAACCAGCGGCACCACTTACCGCACTACCACAGGGCGTACCTCTGTCACAGGAGGGTCGGGCTATAGCCGTACATCGTACCCTACCGGACGTAAGTACTCTGGCCGTTACTCCGTAACAAGGAAGTTTTACTAAAGAACAGGAACAATCTGAGGACTTACCTTTGCTGAGAGAAAATGTCAACATATATAAAACACGCATTTCATTCGAGTTGAAAACAGTAGATTTTTAGTTTTTAGTTAGTAACTTTAATTATGTCGTTCCAAGCAGCCTAGGTCGCTTTTTTGCAGACGAAACAACAGCTTAATCGTGACCAATCGCTTTAGTAGCCTGAGAGCTTTAAGAACCAACTGAAAAGTTGTTTGCAACTGGAGATCGTTTGCAGGGTTTTGAAGACTTATTTTGCAGTTTTTTTTCTCGTGTTCTAAATATTTATAACACTAACTTTACTAGTTTATCTACAGTACAAAGAAGGCCTTTCGGTTTTGTTACCATTAATGAAGCTCTCAATTTTGATTTTGAACTTCGCTTATTTTTTTCCTTGTTTATTTGAGGAAACTGAGGTTTGCTTTTTATCGAGTCTTTTCTCAAATTCTGAGTGATGAGTGGTAGTGAGGTAGTCCAGATTGAAGAAAGAAAAAAAATACTTTCGCATGAATTCACAGGTGTGCATCTTTTTTTGTGATTGCTTGAACAAATTTGGATTTTACTACTTAAACCTAAACCTACCATATTTATTCATATTTTTAGTTTTGAGTGAATCGTCGCCTTGTTTTTTCTTGGATCTTACTCCAATTTTGAAAGCGTTTTATTCGTTGTTAAAACAAAAAAAAAATAAACAAACATCGTATTACAATGTTTCGATCACTGTTTCATTTCATGTAATCATTTTCTTCGTTTTGACTTTCCATTTGCAGTGAAGTTCAACAAAACAAAACAGACTCCTTCCTAGGTTATTTAGCATTGACACGTAGTAGTTTTTCTGTATTGAAAGTGTAGCTTTCTAGTTTCCATTTCGCACACACTTCATTTTTATTTTCATGTCCTTATGGCATTACACCATATGATACGTTTTCGATGAGCGGAACACACACACACACAAAAATCCATATAATTTCAGGGGTGCAGTTGACTTACAACTCAAATTCTCCAAGCAATTTTACCAAATGTGCGGTGAATTAAAAAGTTGTCTTTACCTCCATGATACTTGGAGATAACCCAACCCACAGCGATACATGTTCGACCACAAAGGTTGTATGTAATTTTTAACCATATGGGAACCTCATGGTTCCGTCATACGTTTGAATCACACTTCGGTTTTTCCCATTTTTAACGTTGTAATAAATTTGGGCTTACATCAATTGCAACTTTGTATGAAGTGCTTCATTTTTGAAATGTTTTTGGAAGGGTAACAAAGCTTACTGATCTATGTTTTAGGAAAGTTTGGCCCTTAGTCTTAAGCTTTGTCTTTGAAATTGTTTCCCCTTACACCATTATAAATATCCGGGTGCAGGGGAGGGGCGGGGAGTGGCAGGCGTAGGGAACTACTCTTTTGCTGAACGTTTTTCCCTTTTCTTTCGCTTCTAAGAAAAGCTTTCTTTACTTTTTCTGGCTGATTACCAGGGTGGGTTTCTGACATGACTGATTTTTAATGGAAACAGCTCGCACAAACATATTGGGTACTTTCAAGAGAGTGTCATCTAAAAATACCAAACCCAAAGTTGAAGAGTTATATCGTATCACAAGTCAAGTTTCAGTGGCAGGACAAATTCGAGTCCACTCAATTTTTTTTCCTCAAATCAAACAATATCGTTGGAAAAAGACACTATTGTTGTTGCCGTCAAAAAGCAAAACGAAATAGAATCAAACCCGTCCGTTTAACTAAATTGTTTACCTTTTACTTCCGCTGAAACGGTTCCTTTCGTCAGTCCTATAAAGACACAAGCATTCCCTCATTCAACTATCTAGTTGTTATTAAGCGCACTTACCGTGTTATAGAATTGTCACGAGGTTAAAGAAACGTTTCAAAAGCTGTTATTGTCCGTGAAAACATATTTGGACTCTGCTGACAACCACAACTGATGCTCTCTTGACGAAACGTTGAACTCGTATTTATTTCAACGTCTTGTTCATGCATGCGACACAGCGTATATCGTGCGTTGTGTATTCCACATATTATGTCTCTACAACAATGTGATGCTTCGTAAATTTCGCACAGCTGAAACCCGAGGAAAACAACAAAAGTTGGACATGAGCATTCTGGTGAAACAAACGTTTGGCCAGAGAAATGATACCTCAGGTGTGTGTTAAAGGTTTTTAGCTTAAAACTACTATTCTGGTGATTCTGGTGCATCATTTTGACACAGAAATCAAACACTTAAAGAAAAAATAATAAAGTGAAAAATTAGAATCGAATCAAACATGACTCGTGACTCAAAATTGATTCGCGCTCGAATTTCAAATACAACGTCGGGCAGAAAAAGGTTACCAGAACTTTCGAAAACATGTCCTAAGTTCTTAATGGAATATGAGTTGCATTTTCATGTTAGGTTTTTAAGACTTTTCAGGAGAGTAAGCTTTTAGAGAAACTGTGGTGCTGCGTCAGTAGGGTTTATTTCAAGACAATTTGGTTTTGTCACCTGAGGCTCTGTTAGCACGAACCTGGTTGACCTGGCTGTGTTGTGTTCATGTGAGAAATTTCAGCCCGTTTACTAAAACGAGACAACGTGCGTAGATCCTGGGGATTAGTTCTTGGCGCGACATTTGAGAAACAAAACAAACATGGCGGCGAAACGCAAAGTCATCATTTTCGCACCTTTCTGAGCTTTTTCTGCTCTTGTAGCTGTATAACGCAGCTAAATGGGATACTTATGCTGTGGAAAATACAGCAGACAAAGCACCATGATGCCATCCGTGCCGCCTTGTCGCGGAAGCGGAACTACTGTCTGCAAAGTTGGAGGCGGATGAAGAAATCGGCTCACTTGCCGCCATTTTTGACCACGTTGTCTGAGGCCGCACTCCGCAAGTGGCCTAATCGGTGACATACGTAGTTGAAAAAAAATTCCATCCCGGTAATCGAGTGTACATATGGTATAAATTTCCTGCTCGGTTCCCGAGATCCCGCTCGGTAAAAATTGAGATCGGGAACCGATCCAGACAACCCGCTCATATGAACACGTCTAGACTTTTAAAATAGATTAGAGATGTGCCAAGATCTCGGAAACCGGGCTAGCCCGGTCAACTGCGCTCATATGAACTGAAACCCTGACTTGATAAAGTTAGTTGGCCACTGTAAAGAGTTTCTGTAGGTGACGTTTCGAGCATTAGCCCATCGTCAGAGCAAATGGCGAATGGCCAAAGCTCGAAACGTCAGCTTTAGAGAATCTTTTCTGGGCCAATTTACATTATCGATTCGGGCGATAAAATTGAACTAAATTATTTATATTCACCACTAAGTTCAGCTGCCACACGTTTCCTAATTATCACTGCGAATCCAGTCGAATGAGACGGATACGCTTTCAGAGATTATTTTTGGGCCGCCTATTGAAAGATCAGGATCATATCTTGTCAAGTTTATTTCAACAGAGTAGCATGAAAAGTGTGTTTGTTTGGAGTTACATTTAGCTTGAAGTCTTCATGAGTAAAAGAAAAGGTCCTCCCCTATTCAAGAAAAACTAAATATCCGCTCGCGACCTTATTAGAAAAAGTAGCGTAAGCCCGAATTAGACTAGCAATACAAACAAGTGTACGCAAGTAGATTAGTAATATTGATCAAGGCTGCCTCGCAACAAATTGCCTTTTCTGAACACTTATCGTAATTTTAAAATTGCTATTGGAAATAGAGTGCTCATTGCATCCATTCTGTCAATAAAAACTGACTGTGTTTTAAATGACCAAAGGTTCTAAATTGGAACCTGTTTCTTTTACAGTTTGATGCTAGCACGAGAGAAAATGTTTTAGTAAGACTGGTTATTTAATTCCAGTGAAAAGAGAATGGACTAGCTAGAAAAACAAACGAAGCTCCGAAATTGTATATTTGAATATGATCCGTTTGCTGTCCGTCTGATTTATCTTTCATAGCACAGATAAAAATGAAATTCTCCTTTCGGAGCTCACGCAAAGAAGTCCACTCATCTCTATGTCAGCTGCAAAACCGCTTAATTCATGACGTCGATCTCCTCTTCTGAATTTGAAAATAAATTTACAATTTCAAGCAATATTGGTAAGGAAAATTACTCGTTTCTCGCAATAAACGATGGCACTTAAGCAAATATAATATCGTGAAAAAGATCTGTCTTAAACACCTGAGTACGCTAAATGACTACTTAGCTGCCGTTTCCCGGTACCGTGGTGGACAGCTGTCAAAGTCAATGAAAGAAACCTCTTTTAACTTAAAATTTTCTGAGATAGCACGTCCATTTGTGTCAATCTTATCTTTCGAGTTGTTCATTGAATTTCTGAAGCATTGAAGCTGGAAACCAAATA